AGGACCAAAACTATAACTATTACAAAAATAAAATCGACCTCGGAATAAGAATAATAAGCTGGACACTGCAATTCACATACAATTTGGTGTTTTCAAAAGTCTCATAAAATCTCGTATCAGCGTCGTAAGTAATTCACGGTCAAAGCTCAATTCGGTATTTCACGACTACCTCAATAATATATTAGTTGAGCACATAAATAATGCACCGAACATTTGTCACACAATTTTTGTCACCTTAAAATTGTAATCAAATGCAATTTATACCTTTGTACTGTTAAATTATAAACACACAACAAGGGTTAGGTTAATTATACAAATTATGGTAAAATTTGAACTGATGATATTATAAATTTAAAATAGGGATGATGACTGGGTAAAAAAAATGCAATTCTATTTAGTCCGTCAGTCAGATAATAGAAGAATATTAGACACGTATTTTTTTTTACTTCAATTTAACGAGAAATTGCTTAGATAACAGACATTAAAGTTGAGGAGTGGGGCTCGCTACGTCATAGTTTTGTAGAAAACGTACCATAATTTTTATCGCCGTAATTTTATGATTACAAAAAAAAAATATGTGTTTAATATTTTTCAACACTCTACCTGACGGCAAACAAATAAAAATTAGCCGTCATCCCTATTATAAAATTATATATTATTTATGTATAATTTCACGGTGACGTAGTCGTGAAAATATTTTTATTGTCATTTCTAACGTGAATATTAATACTACTGATTTTAAAAATTCTTACACCTACAGGATGCTACATCCCTAGATTATATAATGTCATAATCTAAGGCTACATCATACGTGTTGTAGACATACATAGACTATAATATACGCGGGTGAAGTCATGGGAGAACAGCTAGTTAATAATAAATATAATAACCAATCTTTCTCTTCTTCGCAATATAACCAATTGAATTATTTAATTACCATGTTCATATATTTCAGTCAAACAGTCGGGGTTCTATTTATAATTACTTACCTTCACAATCTGCTTCATAATAGGTGTCATCAACATTTTATCTTTTAAAGTTTCCATTTATATGACTGGTTTTATTGAACATCGTCTCTTTGAATTGACAAACCATTAACAATGTAGAATGAAAATTTGCTCAATTAACGTAAGCCTCACATACTAGCCGTGTAGTTGCAACTAAGGATGTTATGGTTATGAATTTTCGGATACGGACACGGATTAGGATATAAAAAAATATTATACAAGTTTCGGATATGGTTACAAATATGAAATTATTACGGCTTATCACAGATCTACATACCGAGTTGGATATTATCAGTGGCGTAGCTAGGTAACCTAGGGCCCTGGGGCAAATAAAAAAATGGGGCCCACTGCTATCAAGATTGGTAAGGTTTTTTAAAGTAAAATCATTAAATATACAAATACTTTAAAAATGCTAAGCAACTTTCGAAAACTCTTTTTGCTGCATGGGTAGGTAATAAAACTATTAAACTCTAACAACATAAATTACCATTATTTTTATACTTGGTGTAGGTATTGGGCAATAAAACGAAATAGAAAAGATTCAAGGGTTTATTATATATTTATTTATTCATAGATACGTTGCACCAGCTTACTGTTATTAAACCTATCGCCATGCAAAATATTAACAAAAATTATCAATAGGAATATTTTGTCCAGAAGTATCGGGTGGTTAAATTTTAAGGGCCGATGTTGATTTTAAATAAAACACAAATTATTTAGGAAATTATTGTCATTTCTGTTTATTACGATAATATGGTATGGCCCGATGGTCCAAATTTTCGAAGAAAATCATCTTCAGTGATGAGGCTTCTTCATTTTCACCTCAGTGGATTCGTCAATAAACAGAATTTCCGCATTTGGGCGAATGATAATCCAAGAGTGATTGTCGAAAAACCAATGCACCCACAAAGAGTGACTGTTTGGTGCGGTTTATGTGCTGGCGGCAACATCGGGCCGTATTTAAAAATGACTAAGAAAGATCACGTAATTAATGGACGGCCCCCACCGCATTTGTATTTTTCACGGTATTTTGAGTTATATAGTGAATAGCCGAAATCTATAGATTTCTTTATGTAACTATGTATACGTACTATTATCAAATAAAATTGAACTTTTGTATGGACCAGTACAAAAAATTTATTGACATACGCTTACTTACTCCTGATACATTTACTTTTCAACTATTCTCGAAAAAAAAATCTTGACTCGAAGTTCATAACTGCGAATCACAAAAACGCATATCGATAAATAGTAATATGCAGATATGGATATCCAACAAATTGATGAAAACATTAATAACTCTGTCAACCCACACAAATAATTTAGGGGAATTCCCTTTTTATAACTTTGGAATTTCTCACAACTGAGCTGCCATGATTAAACTCGAGTTGTCATATTTATTTTGAAAATGGGAAAAATTTTCAAAAGTTTAGTTCGATTGAGATTTTCTGGTAAAGATTCGAGGGCCCCCTGAGCTTGAGGGCCCCGGGGCACTGCCCCGCCTAGCCCCTTGGTAGCTACGCCACTGGATATTATACTAATAAGGTTTCGGATATGGCTGCGGATATGAAATTGTCACGGATTATCACAGTCGAATTACAAATTATTATACAGGTTTCGGGTACGGTTGTGGATATTAAATTATTTCAGAATATTATCTGTTAGTATCAGTTATAGTTGCTGTTACTAAGTTCGTTTATTGTGTTGGCTCGGTCGGACAGAAACAAAAATGTTAAATTGTATCTCATTTAGATTCCGCACTTGTATAAAATTATCTGACACTTTTGTAGCGGTTACGGTTTTATTTCGGATATCCAATAATTTCTGTACCTACAATACACATTGATAGAACCAGTTAGTGTTCTCGATCATACCGTAACCGTCGAACGTAAAACGTTACGTTGACCTTAATTATGTTTTTATCAAAGAAATATCAAAACTTTAATTTTTATTTTAAATATACATTAACTACATACAATTTCGAAAATTAAAAAATATATATATCATCTTTATTATATAAGTATAGGCACAATATAACTATAGTATATAGGTAATATAGGTAACAACATTCCATCAGCATAAAGCCAATTATAAATGCAATCAACATCTCACTCACTGAATAGTACAGTGGCACAACTCAAAAACCATTATTTCGAGAAAACGCCACAACATTGTGGTGACATCCCATAGATGATTTAAAGAAAAAATAAAAAACTTAACAGTAATAATATAAACGATTTAACTGTTATGCTAAAAAAATTGATTTTCATAATTATAAATATATTAAATTTTCATAACTTCGGAGAGCGTTTCTCGAAATTATGGTTTTTGAGTTGTGCCACTGTACTATTCAGTGAGGGATCTGTTCACATTGTCACATTACATTTCCGCCAGCGACTTCGCCAGCGTAGTCCTTAGGTATAATATTACACCGATGTAATTACAATGACAAATAGAATAGTAAACAATGGTTACTATGGTAACGTTTTAATTCCCTATACAAATTTCTACTCCCATTTTCATCCCTTTGTTTGCTGTTTTTCGGGATAAAATAAAGCCTACGTTCACCGCATATGATGTGGCTTCCCGTAGATGAAAGAATTTTTTAAAACAGTCCAGTATTTTCGAAGTCTATTCGTTCCAAATAAACAAAAATCAACTCTTTCATTTTCATAATAGCAGTATATATAAAAAAAAAATATTACGCGTGAAAATTCACTAACAAGTACATATCTCCACCTCTCAAAAAATAAATAAACAAGAAATTTGGTAACATAATCTAAATTAACTGAAACCTATTTGCTTGTGGCTATATTTGTGGCCAGTTCGTGGCTAGTTCTATATATGGCAATCTCAGCTTATATTTTAAAATGTACCTACTGTTGAAGAAACGGAATGAATCCAAGAGATACATCAATGAGACTTACGTCATCATCTCTCTCTTAACGACTGCAGATGCAGCCGAGACCAATGGCTTAACGTTACTTTCTAAGCACTGAGGGGGTCAAGATGCATTTTGATTACCCATCCTATGACCGGCCCTTACGAAAGTTACTTAACATCCGCATCGCTGATCAAACGCTCTAACCACTACGCCATGGAGCATTGATGATAAAACCTTAATGACGCTCAAACTTTAAAGTCAAACAAGCTTTTTTCCTCGACTTCATCTGTGTAAATTTTGGCCTATGCCACACGCGTACGATGTAGCCTACCGTAGAAGAAATATGTTTTTACATTGGTTAAATAGTTTCGAAGCCTTTTCGATGCGAATAAACAAACAATCAAAATTTTTATTTTTATAATATTAGATAGATTTCGACAATCAGACAACCAGACCACTAGTAAATATAAATTTCCAAAACCGCGTTAAATGTACGTCTAGTTTTGTAAATACAAAGTAATGTAATGCAAGTGACACAGCAAATAATTACCACACATCATCCTTAGAAATGTAGATTATTCAGTGTCAGTCTGTGATCAGCATCAAAGGTGCGATAGAAACTCAAAATTCCGCGTACATTTCTCACAGGACGTGTAACATGCGCATTTACGTTGCGCTTAGCGTGCGACCGGGGCACAATACATGATAGAAACAGTAACTCAACTCCATATAAACGGACGAATCAACGTACGCACACATTGAAACGTCGTCTACGCGGCCGCCAAGTAGTCTGAAACTCTGTCACATGCTAGACGCTAGCTGATACGTGCTCATATCTCCTTGTCATACCTCCCAACGTTTTTATTAAATTACCATAATGTTTTATTCTTAATCTGAAAACTACACAATTATAATAATAGTCTACCTTTGAGTATTCATTATATTTATTGTAGGTAATAATCCGTCTGAACACGCCTGAGCTGGGATACTGTATGTTTTATGTATTGTGCCCAGGGTGCGTTCGGTCAGCGTAACGCTGGGTTACACAACCGCAGTACATATTAGCGAGGTGCACGCAAACACTTCACAGTGACAAGGTGTACGCCAACATGATCTGCAACGTAACTGTAAGTCCGATTTTTTATTATCAAATAATTCTAGAAAAAAAGCACATCTTAACAGCATCATGTGATTTTAGTTATACTTTTTATTAATAAAAATTTTGATCTGGATTACTAATACCATATCCTAGATCTATAGTTTAAAATATTTGAGAATATTTTGATCCACAATGCTTTATACATCTTATAGAAAAATACTTTAAAAAGAGATAGATTAATAAAAATTTGAAAAAGCTGGATAGGTATTTTATCCAACTATCTGCTGATTACCTAATAACCACCCCCTCTTTGTCTTGCAATGACCCACAAAACATATCCTTTTGATGCAACTTTGTCGTTATAAACAGGAAAAACAATGCAATGATGCGTATCCCTTTTGCATAAACAGACAACCGATAAAGTATTTAATGAACCTAGTAATTTCTTGATTGGAACGTAAGAATTACGAACATCGTAACATATTGATTGTTGTTTGTGTAGTTTTTTTTGTTAAAAATCTACTATTGAAGTTTATTCAAACGCAAAAAGGTCGAATGTCTATCATCAATGTCAATAATCATCATCAAAAAGCACCAACAAAATAAAAACATCTTATTTTGACTACAAGAAGTTTTTGATGTATATCTCTTTACTGTGTTAACTTTCAACACCATGACTGTCTTAATGACCCAAAATTTCCCTTTTCTCTATTTCAAAATAGCCATCAAAATAGATCTTGACTAGCAGATTAAAAAATAAAGATTTTGAACCCATACTCTTTGGTAGCTATTCTATAATCAAAATTTCGATATACCATCAACATAGTCCTTGGTTTCAAGTGTCCACGATATTGGTTAATAAATAAGAGCCAACTTTGTGAAGGAGAGTTTGCTAGTTTTATTGTTCTGTTAACCAATGAGCAAAACTTCGATTTATTAAGAAAGTTGACTCAAAATATTCGATATTACCACTCCTAAACTATTATTGCATTTTATTGTAGATATAAATGTTAAATGAATAAAATCAACTAAATAAATAAAATCAACCTAATAAGATTTGATTCTTTCTGTTTTCTTATCGTTGAAATTGCATGTTCAGGTATTTATGGACTTTCTAGTTCCTTTTACAAACGAAAATACTTGCATCAAGATTTTTTTTTAATCTTGCCCAGACCTTATAGGGAGTTTATAAATGGGATTTATAAATGGGAAGGAAAAATTGTATGAGAAATTAGTAGCAAGCTCTTTGTTACAAACAAATAATAAAATAATTTAAATAAAACAATATTAATTGATTAAATCTAATCAACTTATGATAAAAAAAATCAATACCAAAAGGATTATTACCCGCGGCTTCCGATAGATGGCGCTACGAATATTTGTTGTAGCGTTTTTAGAAATGCTGCCAAAATAACTATACGCGGACGAAGTCGCGGGCAAAAGCTAGAATACAAATACGCACCAAATAACATCGAAAATGCAGATAAAAAGACACAGTTATTTTTTATTCATTCTAATTATATTTTAAAACAATTTCAGTTCACATTCATCCTCTTGGTCGCCGCTCAGATATGCGTGGCTTCACCAGTACCAGAGCCAGACCCCTATCATAAAACGCAGTAAGTATATTTTTGTTGCACAAATACAAACAATATGTAGATAACATTAAATTACCAGAGAGATTAATAGAATTTTAGAACCTCCACTATTTTGGTCGGATAGGATAAAAAGGATTGTTTACTAATATTGTAAGTGGCAAAGTGTGTTTGTTTCTTCTCATTACAAAGCATCGCAATGGAGTAACTCAACGGTGATATAATTATTGAACATGTCTAGAGTGATGTTAGTATTTTTTTTTTTCGATAAAGCTCTTATTCATTTCCATTTAAAATTTTCTTTTCTACTTATTGCCCAAGCCAACACTTAATAATCTATATTTAAAAACGGAGCGTATTTTCCACATAATTTCTCATAACTAGTAGTCGTTTGATAGTACCGAAGTCATGTCACTTTAACACAATTTTAATGATACTGAAAAGTGAACAGACAAGTTAATTACTTGTCAATAATAAGTAAAAAAATAAACTTTACTAAAAGAAAAGAAAACTACATCGAAATAACATCGAAAAGAGCGTCTCTTATTATACTTACTATGTAGATATATATAAATACATGCTAAATCGTGTACTGTTTACAGAGCCGATAGCTCAATAGCATTTATCGATCGTGAACACAAAAAAAACGAGTAGAAAAACACTTTATCGTACGGTCAGCAAAAATATTGATTCAAGCCATAATACACCAGACGCTCAGGCTCATTTTATGGAGTGACAGCAGATAAGTCATACCATTGGTAGTCATTATAGTAGATGGATATAGATAGGTTGACATGACTCACCGGATGTGCGGCTAGACTGACGCTACTATCTGTCGTCTGCTCAAAGATTTATTTTATAGGAGTGATAAAATACTGATATAAGGTAGTGGCGCTTAAAATAGCCAGATTTCGACCTCCTAATTGATAATAAAATAATCAAATATGGTATTGTATTCCTTTTGGTAAGTTAACCGCAGGACTACTCAAAAGTATTAGGTAAAGTTGTTTTTTAGCATACTAGCATTAACAATGGCCATTCCTAGGCGACCTTATTATTCTATTGATAAGAAAAAATAAAGAAAACGTTTTAAGATTGTTCTATAAAGAGATAGAACAATCTAAATACGCGTAATAACGCAAGATAAGGTATATGTAGAGAGATATATAGAAACGGATGATGGCAATGTAAGTCGTATGGAACAAGAGAGCGCGTGTATTTAAATAACTGAAAATATAATTAAAATTTATAATAAGTTTTTATAAATTTAAAAGGCTCGATTTTAATCGTACATTCGGTCATTGTTGGTATTGGTAGGTCTACCGTGCGCAAACGAAGATGATACTTTCTATACACGAATCACTACATAGTATAAAACAAAGTCGCCTTCTCTGTCCCTATATCCCTATGTATGCTTAAATCTTTAAAACTACGCGACTGATTTTGATGTGGTTTTTTTTCATAAATAGGGTAATTCAAAAGGAAGGTTTTTATGTATAATACATAACTATACGGGCGAAGCCGCTGACGGAAAGCTAGTACTTCATAAAATTTATGTGAATTTTAGAAATAACTTGATAATTTTTTGTGGGATGCAGTTTCATAATGGCTCAGACATTTTTAAATCACACGGAATTTGATATTAACAATTTCTTTTTATCCCTCTTGACTTAAGTTAATTTTTTTATCATTTTAATTTCAGCATCAGAATCCATGTGCCCCATGAAGTGCACACCTTACACCATCATCACGTATCCCACGTGCCAGTGATCAAACATGTGCCAATTATCAAGGAGGTGCCAGTCCTAAAGGAGGTGCACGTAGTGAAACCTGTGCCGATCATCAAGACAGTTGGCGTGCCAATCGTCCATACGGAAATTATCGAAAAACCTGTACTGGTTTCACATTCGCATTGGCATTAAAAGATAAATTAGAGAACACACTGTGATTTTTTAAATATTTTTATAACGGTTTTGCCTAACAAAACACTTTTCTAACATAAGGGTCTATACATATCTGACGGAAGATGTGTAGCGTGTCTTCGGTCGTAGACGCCATAACTGTCAAATACATGATTTGTTAACATATAACCTTGTATAATCGACGTATTATTCGTCCTGTAATAATGCATTCTTCTATGAGAGGCTTCAGGGATATTTCGTCAGATTTGCGTTAACCCTAAAGATCTTAAATACATAAGATAACTAAGGACTTACTTAAATTCGTGGTATTACACTATTTCACGTTTTGTTTTTTTATGTAATTGTGAAATCAGCTTTAATTTTTAATTAAGATAAAAAAATAGTAAAATATTGTTATGACCTTACTTAGTTGTATTTCTTATTAACATTTTGATCTAATAAATCACAATGACGTGGACTCCCCGGAACCGATGTCTCCAATCTGCAAAATTGCTCAAGTTATATAGGTATATGAATAAAAAATAAATGATTTATTTTCTTAAAAATCTGCATTATTAGAAAGAAGTTTTTGGTTCTAACTCTTCGTCAGTTATTGTGATATATAAAAATGGACGTGTTGTGTATTTCATAAGAACATTGATAAATATTAATTTAGTTTAATTTCTTGTTCCCTTTTTAAAACTCTTCAATCCATATTGTTTACAACCAAAGAGGCTGTTTTAACGCTACAGTGTCAACATTGACTCTGAGAGAGTGTCGATATTGTTTTCTTTTTTATTTGTATTAAATATACGAAAAGTTAAAAGTCGCAGTTTTCTTTATACATAGGAACTTGTTTTTAATTTCGAATTCTTACAGTATTACGTACTTTAAAAAAGTCTGTAACATTTAAGGATGTCTTAGTACTTAAGTTTTTTTATTGTTTAACTATTTTTGTTGTATATTAAGAACAAAAGTTACGATATACAAGATTATTCAAAATAATTAAGTCAATGGTACTACACTACAATTAAACTGCAAAGAATCTGAAATTTCTAAAAATCTAAAAGTTTACAAAATACTATAGTTGAAATGATTTGCCAGTTTTCGTGAGAAAAGATACAACTGACCGATACGGAGTACAGTGCGGGTGGGTGGGGAGCGCACAGCGCCCGCACTCCTTCAGTCGTCCACGCAGTCTAGTGAGGGGAACCTGTGTCGAAAATCGGTAATGGCGCGGGAAATTGAACCCTTTTTTACATATTTTAGTAAATTAATTTAGAGTTTACGTATTGTTAATTTAGATTTTTGTCTAAATGTACCCTTTTACACCGAGTTTTTATTTTAAAACTCATTACATAATTTATTATGAAGAGGAGACCTTGATTTTTGTATGTATGTTAGTAAAGACTTTACACAAAAAAAAATAAGTAAGTGACAGGAATTGTCAAAATTGAAATTGCTCGTCACTCTGCCGGGTGGCAGACGTCCTATTTCGATATTAGAGACGTTTGAGAGAGCTGACTTCGGCGTTGGTGTTGTCGCGACGTCGAACGCGTGGGCAGCGCGTCAATATCAAGACGGCCCTTGACCTATCATCTCTTCGGAGTTGACATCGCTGATTAGCGGTTGCGTGGCAGCGTTTTCAAATTTTTCCTCCAAAAGGTACCAATTTTTATTTGTGAACCGATGGACAAGCAACTTTTGCCTGAAGCAAAAAGAGGGTAGGCTGTGAGTCTGATGCTCTCATGACCTGAGATGATGTTTAGAGGCTTTAGTTTAATACTGCACCGCTGTCACCCCCGCCCTCGTATGGCACTCGTCATTATATGAAGATCGTATTCTTTTTCGCTGGGCCTGCTGACACTATGGCTCCACAGCTGAGATTATATTAACTTAAATACACATTCATTTCAGGAGGTTTTTGGTTCCTGCGGTACTGTACAAAAAGTTCCTGGTAACAGTTGGTAGTATTTTCCTCGCTTCTGGTCCCGTTTCTACAAGCAAAGACCTATCAGAGTAGGGCTGAACATTCACCCTCACCCGCCAATAAGGTGCAGTCTTTCCGTTGGGATTCGATCAGCGGTAGTGCTCAACAATTTTCTTTTATTCATAAATAAACAATTGATTGAATTACAAAACCAAGGTGTTAATCCAGAATTACCTCTTTAGCTCGAGTAACTCACCCCTGATTTGTCTGGGTTAGTCGGCTATCTCCAATTACCAATAAATAAGAGCAATTGATAAAATTACAACGTATATTGATCTTGCGATAATTGAAAAAGCCAAAAAACGTACCCAAATAGACATACACCACTCTCGGGATTGATACCACCTTGTCCGAACATGCAGCGAAAAAAAAACCGTTCACTGGTATTGAAATGCATACTGAATTGTTTTTTTGATTTTGGTAGCTTTCTAAAAGGGCCTCTACACCTAAAGAAAAATGGTGAATATAAGAAAAAGTTTAACCTGTCAGAATGTGCTGCATTTAAATATAAAAATGGAGAGTTTCCTCAATTTCATTATAAGTTGTATGATGTTGAAGAATGGAACATTGTTAATTTGCAAAGGAAAAGAGGAAAATCACCACTCCCAAGTGTGTTTGAAACGGAATGTATTCCTAGGTCATACGATGGGCCAATAGCTATTTCAAATGAGAAAAAGCGAGATTTCATTTCTCTTCTTCCGCTCATAAACCCCAGCGTTAGATCTTTTTATAACAACCTTCTCAGTGACGATGATATAAAAGATCAACATACTCTTCTAAACGACAGCGAAGACTACATCTAATAAGGTTTTTTGGATCACTTTCAAGGTTTCTGATGGACTTGATTTGTTAGATTATTTTTTGTTTTTGAATTGTTTTCCTGATTTAAAAAAAACTGTGTCATAGGCACTTCTTCAATACTGTTTTACTTACTACATTTTTTTTAACACTGAGGCTTATTAAATGTAGAAGTGAAATTACAAGAAGGTTTTCTGGATCACATCACAAGGATTCTATTGCACTTATTTGTCAGAATTTATTTTTGTTTTTAGTTTATTTTCCTGAAAGAAATTGTGTATGTATATGCACTTTTTGATATCGAATAAAGTTTCTAGATCTGTTTCAAGGTTCTGTTGGACTTAATTTTTTTTTGGTGCTTTTGAATGAAATTTGGTCTGAATATATAGGGTACATGAAATTTCTTCTGTTCCTTAAGTGCAACAGAAATAGTTAAGCACTAAAAAAAAATTTGAAATATTTTCCAAATTTGTTTTATTTAATTAATAGTGAGCATGAAAATTTGAGAGTCAAGTATAAATTAACTTTTGCTTATCATAAGCACAAATATACATAGACTCGTAAGGTGATTTAACAACTTATTAAATAAGCACTAGCTGTTTTTCGCTACTTCGTGTGTATAAATTGTAGTCTATGTCATCGGTGTATGATTCTCTTAAACACAGGTACACATAAATATACTATATATGTGAAAGATTTACATGATCAGATCAGTATTTCTGAAGATTACCTACTCCATATAAATAAACAAACATGGTTACAGACTTGATCTTTTTATAATAATATTAGTATAGATCTATATCAGTCAATCATAAATCTCAACATTCAGGGGGACTGGCCGGATGAAGTGCGCTGGCTGGTTGCATTGTTTTGGTTCGATATCGTGGCGCCATTGTGCAACTGTCAAACTTGGGCGCCATTTTGTTTGCGTTAAGAATTTAGAGTTGCAGATGGACTGAATAAATTGTGTCCCGATAATAAAAAAAGAGATATTAATGATTTGAGTGTACGCATAACTGCAGTAGCTTTAGCTTGTTTTGGATTAAGTTTTTTATTTGGTAACAATAAATAAATATACATTAAATTCATATTAACAAAATAAATGATGGTACCAAGTCTGTTATACCGCTGTCTGAACTAAACTATTAAAATCTTATTTTAATTTGGTTACACTCTAACGCTTTTTTGTTATTACATTTAATCTCTAAAAAGACTTTTGTTCCTTTATTTTATAAAAATTTAAATAAACAAAGACACAGACATGATTAAAATTTTTCTTAGATTCTTAAATATTGATAAGTTATTGGAATTAAAAATAACTACTTATTTCAATAAACTGTGTATTTCCTAATTGATTTATCATAGACAGGCAGGTCTGTCTCATCATAACATATATCACGACTATTGAATACTTTTAAATAAGAAATCATACACTACGATCAAAAGGAAAAAACTTACATGTTAAGATTTTGTTGTGCATTTGTTTATGGATTATATCAGTTAATTTTTGTTTTTATAGTTTGCGTATAGCATTTATTGATCATCTCTTATTAATGAATTGCTTCTTGAAAGGGTAAGGTTTCTATACCACTTGTTTTGGTTTTCACATACATTCATTTTCCAAAAAAGTAAATTAGTACTGACTTATATATATTTTATATCTATATTAATTTGTTAAATATGGGGCTTTGAACCAGTTTTGAACAGTATGATGCCTGACTGTCTTAATTTTCTAAAACTTCTCTGAACAAATTGGTGACAAAAAGAAACAAAAATGATTATAAGAAAAAATCTAAAACATCACTTTTTTAATGTATACTAACCACATTGTAACAAGTTTGATTACGTCAAAGAAAAGTTGATTTACATCAAAGAAATTTGAGAAAGTTTTACTGAATTAATTTATTATTGATCCAGATTCATATTAAAACTGATAGAGCTGGAAAAAAAGACATGGGATCCAGCTGTTCTGATGATGATGGCAATATCAGAAGCTTTAAAGATTAACTAGCAACTATGAAAATATTTATGAATGTAAAGGAAGCAAAAACGTATTACCACTCGTTTCTTTCTGTCTATAATATCAATGCCATTATACCTATACCTTAACACACCAAAACTGGAGTGTAGGTTGATTTTAATAGAGAAAAGCTTCAGCTACAGTACTATTGTCTAATTAAATAGCCCTGGAACTCAACGTCAATCACAATGCAGTCACAGCATAGAGGTCCAT